AAATGATTTTGAGTTTTGTTCCACATTGTTCTCCCTCTCTATCCAGGATCTCCTACATCCCTTCCAAGGTCCACTGGGTCTCTTGAACTAATTGTTTCCATGCATCTTTGATTTTCTTCACTCTTCTTTGCTCCAGACAAAGAGAAACCAGTAATTGCATCTTAGATGGCCACTTGCAAGCTTTTAAGTCCCCACTCACTACTCACTAAAGTAGGATGCAGAACATTTTTTTTTCTCTTAAGAACAATGTTTTTCTGTACTATGTTATTTATGTCAGCTGAGCTTGATATCCTCATAACTATGGTCCTGACCCTGAAGGCCTTCAAGGTGTTTGCTTATGGCTAGGTTTTCATAACTTTGTCCCATTAGCTCTAATATACATAAAGACACTTTTTTTTTTTCTAAAATGAATTGTTCTCTGTTCCATCCTTGCCTCTTTTTTTTTTTAACTAATTGTTATTATTATTTTTAAAAATTTTGCAGTGTTTCCTCCCCTCCCTTCCCACCCTTTTACAGCACACATAAGTACATATGTAGAAATATTATCCAAAAAACCTACAATATGGTCATGAGTATAGTCCTGTTTACCTACTCATACCTTGATTTTTACAATAACGGACTAATACAATATTTGTCCTTATGTGATTGACTTATTTCACTCAGCAGAATGTCCTCCAAGTTTATCCACATTATGTGGTGTTTGCAGATTCTAGGTTATTCTTTAGGGTTGCACAGTATTCTATTGTGTGTATGTACCAAAGTTTGGTTATCCATTCCTCAGCTGATGGACACCTAGGTTGTTTCTATCTTTTGGCTATTGTAAATAGTGCTGTGATGAACATGGGTGTGCATATGTCTGTTCTCGTCATGACTCTCACTTCTTTAGGTGTATCCCATCACTTCTTGATACACATTTTTCCAGTCGAGCTGCACTATTTGATGGCCCCCAGAGGAACCTAGTATTTTTCTGCTTCTGTGCCTTTGTTCCTACTATTCCTTCTAGAATGAATAATTACTTTTTCTGTCTTTGAACCTTTATTCCATTAAATTTCTTCTTGTGGAAATCCTACTCATACCTAAAGGCATGGAATTTGGCATTAGGAATCAGAATTATTATAGCAGTTCACTGAAAGAAGTTCAGATATCACCCATTTCATATGAAGTCTTCACAGATTCCCACAACTAGATACCATCTCTTTCTTAGCATTTTGTAGTTCTGTTTTACACCAAATTAGTAAGATTATTAACTTTTTGAGGTATGGTGTGAAATTAATCTTTGTATATTTCCTTTATATTCCCTGATACATAAAAAATATTGAATATATATGTATTGAACTCAGTTAAGGGGCCTCAATTTTACTAAACAACAGTATAGTAAGACAAATCAGTAAACTTTTTTGGGGAAAGCAGAGACTAAACTGAAACCTAACTCACTGCTGTTGAGTCAGTTTGGACTCACAGCAACCTGTCCTTGGGTTTCTGAGGCAGTATCTCTATGTAAGTAGATTGCCCAGTCTTCCTTCCAAGAAGTGACTGGTGGGTTTGAATCATCAGCCTTCTGGTTAGCAGTCAAATGCCTTAGCACTATGCCACCAGAGTTTAGAGCTCCAAAATTGCTAACTTGCTGAATGCTTTAAACTACTTATAAAAACCCAATGCCATTGAGTCGATAGTGACCCCTCCTTGGGTTTCTGAGGCAGTATCACTACGGAAGTAGATTGCCAAACCTTCCTTCCAAGGAGTGGGCTGGTGGGTTTGAACCACCAGCCTCTGGTTAGCAGTCAAATGCCTTATACTATGATCTAAATAGATAAAAGGGAAAGGCTGTAGAATCTTACCACTCTTCTTGAGAAGTTCTCCTTTTCGGGATTCATCCAGTTTTTCAAGAAACTGCTCAAAAACTTTCACATAGGGAGCTAGACCAGTCTTCTTATAACCTAAGTTACGGAAAACATGCATTATAGTTAGCATTCTGGTAGCAAGAACAACATGGAAATATAACTTTTAAGTTTCTTATAAGTGTTTTCTAGAATAGTGCTATTAAATACAAATATGTGAGAAATATACTTAATTTAAAATATTCTTAATAGTCATTAAAAAAAATAATCGGGTGAAATTAATTTTAATAATCTTATTTTATTTGACCTCCACTATCTAAAATATTAACAATTCAATATTTAAGGAAAAACAAATTACAGTATTTTACATTTTTTTCCCATATTAAGTCTTTGGAATCCTGGGTTTATTTGGTACTTAAAAGCTCATCTCAATTCAGATGCTAATTTACCATCAGGAACACTTGATCTACATTTAGATTTAAATTATAAAATGTACAGTTGAAAAAGTAGGCTTACATATCCAGATTATTCCAAACATACATAAAGGCTTTTCAATAACAGAATTGAGTATCAGTTTTGAATTTGATTAAAATTAAATAAAATAAGAATTTCAGGTTTAATATCTTATTCTCTGAAGATATGATAGTATTTTTTTAAAAAGGGGTTGTTTTATTCTTTAAGGAGCTCTGGTGGCATAAGGGATAAGGCATTTGGATGTTAATTGGAAGGTCAGTGGTTCAAACCCACCAGCTGCTCCATGGAAGAAAGATGGAGTGATCTTCTGTAAAGATTTACAGCATTGGAAATCCAATGAGGGTCGCTATGAGTTGGAATCGACTTGATGGCAGTGAGTTTGGTTTTCTGGTTTTTGTTCTTTGCATTGTTTATTTTCTCTGAGTTCCCTTTTCTAGTTTATGTTGATCTGTCTTTGATGTTAGGAAAAAACAAAAACCAAACTCACTGCCATTGAGTTGATTTAACTCATAGTGACCCCTCCTTGGGTTTCCGAGGTGGTATCTCTATGGAAGTATATTGTGCAATCTTCCTTCCGAGGAGCGGTTGGTGGGTGTGAACCAGCAGCCTTCTGGATAGCAGTCAAATGCCTGAGGTGCACGCCACCAGAGCTCCCTTTGATGTTAGAGACTTTTCAAATTTTTAAAACAGAATGCTTTTATCATTTCAGAAACATTAATAGTAGAATGTACTAGATTTAGTTATTACTAGAACTGGCATAGATTATGCAAGATTTGAGCTTGGATTTTCAAAGGTTAGTAATATTTTAACAATCCATAAAAGATAAGAGACCACAAGTCTGCAACATCCAATATAGTAGTCACTGCAACATGTGGCTATTTATTTAAATTAAAATGAAATGAAATTAAATATTCAGTTTCTTAGTCATACTAGCCACATTTCATGTGCGCCAAAGCCACATGTTGCTAGTAACTGCCATGCTGGATAATGTAGATATATAACACTTCCATCACTGCAGAAAGCCCTTTGCACTCTATTGCTGTAGAGTAGCTCTTGGATGATAGTATAAGATTTGACTTCCTTTAGCAGGAAGATTTATAAATTTCCTAGCTCCTTCAAATTCTTGAATATAGAATTTAATCACAAGTTAGATCTATTTATCATAAAGCCCATTTGTATATATCAAAGCACTGCAAACATAGTTAATTATTAAACACAAACAGTTGTTGAACCTAAGAGACTGTGAAATTCAAACAACAGTAATCGACAATTTTATCATATAATATAGATCCCGCATTTAGAAGTTGCTCAGTATTTGTTGAATCAGACTGACTTCAGTAGCACACTTGGGCAAGTAATAAAGGACAGAAACACTCTTACAACATTACTTGTTACTGAGCTAGTCTCAGGGTAGACATTGATACATTCTGAGCTGAGACCAAAGGGAATTAATTAATGGCTAGAGCGACAGAAGGATGTCTGTATGAAAAGCTCGTGTTAAGGTGAGACTTGAATATATTAACCTACCTCTAGTTTTACGCTTGACATCAGATTCAGCTTCATTTTCCTCTTCATTAGTGGAAATGATATTCAGTTCATGGCAGATAGAGCTATAATAACAGAATAAGAGAAATTTAAAGTTGGCTTTTCATCAACATTACCCAGTGTATGACTGCATATGAATGTCACAAGATTTTCTGCAAAAATATTAGTAAAATAAATTTGATATTCTAAAAATAATCTATACTTAAGAGTTTTTAATGTATATTAGCATATTGTTGTTGTTGTTGTTATTTGCCGTGGAGTCAGCCTGACTCATAGCGACCCCTCCTTGGGTTTCTGAGGCAGTATCACTACAGAAGCAGGATTGCCCAACCTTCCTTCCGAGGAGTGGCTGGTGGGTTTGAACCGCCAGCTGTCTGGTTAGCAGTCAAGTGCCTTAGGCACTACGCTACCAGAGCTCCTCATTAGCATATTAAAGGCTGAGAAATCTTGTAGTAATGAAACTTATAAGCAAGCAGTTCTTAAACTTAATTTAACTTGAAAGCCTTTTTCTTACTTAACAGGAGCTGAAAAACTTAAATGGTTCTGTGGAACTCACAAGGAATTACTAGGGTTCTCATACAACCTTAGAGTAATCAAGTATACTGTTTCCATACAGCTACCTCTCTGGAAGGAATCTAATCCAATCTACTTTAGATTTAGAGCAACAATCACAAACAAACTCAAAGAAGTGGTGATCAGTGATTTGGAACATACCTTATGGTTGGAACAGCAAATGGATCAAATTGATCCACTTTTTGTAAGTCAATAGGGACAGAAATACGACCTGTAGGAACCAAAAGTTATAAACTGATAATTGTGGAATACAAATCATTATAGTCTGTTTCTAAAAGTTATTTTTGGTTGAACCTTTTTTTTTAATGCATTTTATTGAAATATAATTTATGTACAGTGAAATACACAAAATTAAAGTGACATGGGTCAATGCATTTTGTTTTTTGCAGTGTTCCCTCCCTACCCGTCCCACCCCTGGCAACTAACAAAGAAAGTTTCCCTCCATATATAAACCTTTCCTTGACTCTCCACGACAATGAACTAATACTAATCCTTTCTGTGATTCACTTATTTCACTCATCATAATGTCCTCCAAGTTCATCCATGTTATGCAGTATTTTGCAGACTCTACATTATTCTTTAGTGCTGCATAGCATTCCATTGTGTATATGTACCATAGTTTGGTCATCCACTCTTTCATTGATGGGCACATAGGTTGTTTCCTTCTTTTTGCTATTGTAAATAGTGCTGTGATGAACATGCGTGTGCATGTATCTGTTCCTGTCCTGTTTCTCATCTCTCTAGGATATGTATCTAGTAACGGGACTGCTGGGTCAAATGGTATCTCCAATTCCAGCTTTCTAAGGAATTGCCATACTACTTTCCACAGTGGTTTTATCACTTCACAGTCCCACCAGAAGTGTAAGAGAGTCCCAATCTCTCCACATACCTACCAGCTTTTGTTATTTTCTGTCTTGTTGAACATTGCCATCAGTGTTAGGGTGAGATGGTATCTCATTGTTGTTTTGATTTGCATCTCTCCAATAGCCTCTTTGAGCATCTTTTAATGTATTTGCTGGCCACCTGAATATCCTCCTTGGTGAAGTGTCTGTTCATGTCTTCTGCCCATTTTTCAATTGGATTGTTAATTCCTTTGCTGTTTAGGCATTGGAGTTTTCTATAAATCTTGGAGATAAATCCCTTGCCAGATATGTAATTATCCACAAGTATGAATTTGTGGCTGTCATTTTTGTTATGTGCTTTTTCGTGGTGTTGATTTCTTTGTTCCATATAATTTTCTGTGCTGAGCTCATTTTGTTTATGAATCATGTTATCACTTCCTTTGATGCTATTGTTTTAGTATTTGCTACATATTTATGCAGGAGCTCTGGTAGCATAGTGCCTAAGGCACTTAACTGCTAACCAGAAGGCTGGCGGTTCAAACCCACCAGCCACTCCTCAGAAGGAAGGTTGGGCAATCTACTTCCCTAGTGATACCGCCTTGGAAACCCAAGGAGGGGTCGCTATGAGTCGGGGCCGACTCGACGGCACATAACAACAACAACAACAAATATTTATGCTGGTCCTCTTTTTTATTTCGATGTGAAGGTTTTTCATTTTTCTTTGAAGTTACCCTGTGATTTATAGTTTTCTTCCCAAGTTTAGAACCATCTATTCTATCTTGTAGTTGTCTAGACTTCCCTACCATTTAGAAGTTCTGTAACGACACAGTTTCTTCCCTCTTTTTGTTTTTTTGTTGTCCCCATTTGTCAATTGATGTCTCTGGCTTACTTACATTGGATACTTCCATAGCTGGGTTGGTTTCTGGGTTATATTACCATGTGTGTTAATGGTCAGTTGTTTACTGTTGTTGCTTTTCTGTCCAAAGGACTCCCTTTAGCATCTCTTGTAAGGCTGGTCTGTTTTTAACAAATTCCCTTAATTTCTGCTTGTCTGGAAATGTCCTAATTTCACCATCATATTTGAGGAACAATTTTGCTGGGTATGTAACTCTTGGTTGGAAATTTTTCTCTTTCAGGATTTTATATATACCATCCCATTGTCTTCTTGCCTGCATGGTTTCTGCCAAGATATCTGAGCTTAGTCATAGTGGTTGCCCCTTGTAGGTAACTTTTCATTTTTTCTGTGCCGCTTTTAGGATTCTTTCTTTGTCTTTGGTTTTAGTGAGTTTGATGATGATATATCTTGGTGATTTTCTTTTGGGGTCTATCCTGTTTGGGGTTTGTCGGACTTCTTGAATGGATATATTCTCATTTTTCATTATACCAGTAAAATTCTCTTCCAACAAATATTGGACAATTTTGTCGGTGGTTTTAATTTTCTCTCCCTGTTCTGGAATTCCCATTACATGTAGGATATTCCTTTTGATGGTATCTCACATGAACCTTAGGCTTTCATTTTGTTTTGATCTTTTATTCTGATTGATCGCTTTCTAAAGAAGTATTGAGATACTTGCCTTAAATCTCACTAATTCTGTCTTCCATTGGTTCAATTCTACTCCTTTGCCCATTCAATGTCTTATCTATTTCTGAAAATTTAGTATTAATCTTCTGGACTTTTACCTGTAGATTTTGTATCATTTCTAATTTTTTATTTATTTTGTTATTTTGTTCCTGTATTGTCTTTCAAAATTGTTCTAGGGTTTTCTGTGTTTTCCTCAATTTTGTGAGTGTTTTCCTTGATCTGTCTCTCAATTTGTTGAAGATATCTAAATATAATTCTTTTGAATTCCATATCAGGGAGTTCCAATAATACATCTTCAGCAGAGATGCGTTTTGGGTCTGCATCCTGGTCCCTTGTTTCTCCTGCTCTTATCTTGTTTGTGTGAACAGTGATGCTCTGTTGTCTCCGAGGCATTATGATGTTTTTGTATTTATATTTAATTGGTGATTGTATGTTGAAATGACTTGACCATGATTTTTGTTTTCTTTGGATTTTACCTAAGTAAGCAGGGTACTGTGCTCCTCTACTCAGTAGTTGGCAGCACTTATACACTCATAACCCATCTCCTTTCCTGTTGTCAGCTTCCTGTACATCCCTGCCATCCTTGGCAAACAGGGCTTATTCTTAGGTCCTGTTTTTGTTTAGGTTTTTCCCGTAGTTGGTGCCTAATCCACTTCTGTATACTTCCTTTCAAAGTTCAGAGTTCCAGGATTATCTTCTGTATCTCTGTCAATTGGTTTATCTTTCCTTTGTTGAAGAGGGTCTGTGTAGCTTGTCTGCCTATTCCTCCATCTTATCAGAAGTCTTGGTTGAAACTTTTATCTAAGGCTTCTTGTTGTTGTTAGGTGAGTTGGCTCTGACTCATGTACAACAGAAGGAAACACTGCGTGGTCCTATGCTACCCTCATAATCTTTGTTATGCTTGAGTCTATCATTGCAGCCACTGTGTCAATCCATCTTATTGAGGGTCTTTTCCTTTTCTGATGACCTTCTATTTTACCAAGCATGGTATCTTTCTCCAGGGACTAGTCCCTTCTGATAACATGACCAAAGTATGAGACATGAAGTCTAGCCATTCTCACATCCAAGGAGCATGCTGGCTGCACTTCTTCTAAGACAGATTAGTTCGTACTTCTGGTAGTTCATGGTATTTTCAATATTCTTCACCGACACCCCAATTAAAATGCATCAGTTTTCTTTGGTCTTCCTTATTCATTGTCTGGCTTTCCCATGCATATAAGACTGTTAAAAATACCATGGCATGGGTCAGGCACACCTTAGTCTTCAAAGGGACATCTTTGCTTTTTAACACTTTAAAAAAGGTCTTTTGCAGCAGATTAGTCCAGTACTATAGTTCATTTGATTTCTTGACTGCTGCTTCCATGGGTGTTGATTGTGGATCCAAGTAAAATGAAATCCTTGACAACTTCAGTGTTTTCTCTGCTTAGAAAAGGATTACTATTTGTATTTCTAAACATTAAAAATATATTTAGAAATAAAAATTAAAGTACTTCCATATTAGCTATGCTTTTTTACTTTTCGTAAAAAAGCAACAACAAAAAAACACAGGTGTAAAAGACTGTTGAGCTATTCCCCACTGGTCCTTTATTGTTACTTTCATTTCTATTTCTCTTCCTATATACTCCCATATTTAAGTTCAGAACAGTCTCAAATTAGAGACTCCTGAAAATGGAACAAAATAGATGGAAATAGCTCATTACATTAGCTTGGTTTATTTGCTGAACTCAAAACATGACCTACATGTTTGGCATCTTTAGAAAGCATTTTGGAAATAAAATAGACATTATCCTACCCTTTTACAATATCCTTACTTGGTATAATATATAAAATTCATAACAATTAAAAATGATACAGTGATTCTAAAGACTGCCAGGTGAATAACAAATATAATAACTAAGGGAACTGGGCATTGCTGTTTGCAAAGAAGTAAAATGACTGTCCTATTTAATATGAAGGGACAGGGATAAAATCAAATTGTATATACTTGTAAGTGACAATTATTTACCTAAATCTTGAGTCTGAGAATGAGAGGACACCCAATGATACCTTAGAATTATAAAATAGGGAACATTAAGCTTGTTACCAAAAGAAGTTAAAACACATAGTTGACAATTTTGAACAGGGCTATATAAATGTATGTGTCACAGAGTAATTATTGTTTATTAAAGGAAACTAGGCAGTTTGATAGAATTGGAAGTGTGCCAGACACTTTTCTAAGCCTTTGCATTTGATTTCACAATAATCCATTGGGCTAGGTATTATTATTCATTTTACAGATAAGAAAACTGAGGCACAGACAGGTTAAGTAATTTGCCTAAGGTATTACAGTGATCAAATGATAAAGCTGGATTGTTTATACTAAAGAGGACAAGTATACATTTCTCTATTATGTCCCTTGGCTGGATGGAGTTTAAGTTTTATGACAATATAGCCACTTTCAAGTTGATTTTAAAATCAATTTCAGTCCACCAAATCTTATCTAAGAGAAATAAATGTAAAAGGGTAAAGCTTAAAACACTAAAAAAGAAATAAGAGAGAGAGTATAGTGGAAAAAGCACAGAACCTTGAGTTATAAGAACTGAACTCTGTTCCTAGCTCTGACACAGATTACAACTGTGGACAAATCATTTTAATCCCTTTGGCCACCATTTTCTCATTTGTGTACCAAGAGCTGTTATACTGTGATTTTAAGGTCTTCTCCAACTCTAATTCATCCCATAGCTTCAGAAACTCAACTGGAAAATATTTAGGTAGCAACAGATGCGGTAGCTATTAATTGACCATGTGAAAAATAATGTAGGTATTAGCTGACAGAGCAGTTCTTCATTCAGTCTTTAATATCTCAAAGATTGTATTTATTCACACACAATGATATACTTGCTAAAACAGTAACTTTCACTTTTTCCTTTTCCTTACTTTCTTTACGTAGTACCTGTTTTAGGATGAACGCTAAAAGGGCTCTTCAGTAAATGATTGATTCCTTTGCTAACATTGATATCCAGCCGTGGAAAACAGTATTGAAGCATGATCTCCCACTCTAGCCAGGGTCCACATTTGTCATTTTTGTTGTTACTCTAAAAACAGGCATAAGTGCAGCATATGAGAATCAGTAGGAACTTTTGAGGATTTCTTTAAAGATTAAAAAATGATTGATCTTCAACTATCTTTAACTTACTAAGCAAAAAAATCAATTTTATTAATAATTGCATTGTTATATATTAATACAAATTCCAGTGCTGTATACCTGATATTTACTGGCTGTGTCCTTCAAATGTTCCCAACGCTGAAGTGAACTCTGACATTTTTGGAAGTCTCTTTGAAGTTCATCATGCATCAGTGATGGGTCATTAAGGAACACAGTCATTTAGAGCACAGCAGTGAACAACTTAGTTTTCAGTATGTATTACTATAAGAATATCTAAAGCATATAAGTATTTAGAAAGTAGTTGTTAATGTTCTCTGAAACACAAATGTTAAACAGTTATATCTGTAAAAAAGTCCCTTGTAAAAATACAGTGGTGAGGTGATAGAAGGAATGAAAAAATAGCTGTAAACCTTTTAATATAAGAGTTTTCCTCAGTCTGCACATAATTTAATTAAATGATTCAGCATTCCTTAAATAGCCATTAACTCTAGGAGGGCCAGCTTCCAAAATGAGGAAACTGATTTGTGAAATGGGTTAATTCATTATTACATTCCATAGTAGAGATAGAAAAAAATGCAGAGATATAGGAGGTGTTGTGTGTAAAAGAGATTTAGTTTTTTTAGGAATAAGTATATGACACCATGGGAGTTCTGGTGGTGTAGTGCCTAAGGCATTAGAGTGCTAACCAGAAGGCTGGCAGTTCAGACCCACCAGTAACTCCTCTGAAGGAAGTCTGGGCAGTCTACTTCCATAGAGATACTGCCATAGAAACCCAAGGAAGGGTCACTATGAGTCGGGACTGACTTGATGGCAGTGAGTTTGGTTTTTTTGGTTTTATATGACACTATGTAGGCAGAACACATCTATAAAAACTGATAACAGCTAACATTTAAATGGTCTTGGGAAAGGATATTTTCAGGAACAAGGGCTAAAATCTTATCCCAGCTTTCTCTATCTTCAAGAATATCTTGACCAACCAAAGCATATTCTTCAAAGTATTTTTTTATGATGTTTATAGATCTTCTGTTGGAACAAGAACAAAGCCCCAATACTATTACCAACATATATGCCACATAAGTATTATTGCCATTTGGTGGGAGGCTAGTGCTTATTCCAATTTTCACTGAATTTCTAGGATTTAACTGGGTAAAATGGCAATGCTACCCCTTTCAGGATTATGAGAGTTTTAAAGAAACATTTTAAGGGAATACAGCCTAGCATAGTACCTGGATCAGAATATTCAAGAAATCTTTACTCCTTAAACTAAACTCCACAACCCAGGTTAATCAGATCATAAGTATGTAAAAAGGATAGAAAGCAACCAAGCAAGCCAGGATAACACAATATATCAGTAGTACAAAGTGAGATTCAGTCTAAAGTTTCTACTTGTAATCACTTGCTTTAACATGTTAACAATTACAGAGCACTTTGCAAATATTCTTCACATCTATTTATGTAATCTTTGCTCAACTCGTGACAGAGAGAGCCGATACTGTTCTCTCCATCATACAAAGAAGGAAACGGAGGCTCTGGTATTTTATGAAGGTCACAGTAAATCATTCCTTATCAAAGGCTCTTTTCACTATCTTGGAGAAGAAATGAAATCAGTGGAAACATCATTTGGATTCAGGCAGACCAGGACTGAACCCTGAATTTAACAAAATCTTGTGCGATACCAAGCAAGTTATATAATCTCTCTGAAATCTTATTTCCCTCATTGGTAATGGAGATATCATGTTCCCTGTGAGGTTGTGAAGACCAATGAGAACAATTTGTACTGTCCAATATCATGGATAATATAACACAATACAAGCAATCAATTAACTGTAGCTATTATTAATATAAAATGCTACCCCAGCAGTGAAAATTGATAACAAGGTAATTTTAAACGCACATGCAGGTAAATGAGATACAACTTAAATTGGGTCTTTTCCAACAGACCTGACAAAAGGGTGGATTTTTTCACTGAGGTGAACTTTCTTTTTAATGTCTGCACCACCCTGAAAAATAAACCATCAAAAAAGAAAAAACTTTGTGTTTATCATATAACGTAAATGAAATAGTTTTAAAATTTCTTTAAAAATATTGTTACATTTAAAATTATGCAAAAGCAAAGATACTAAATTCTGTCAAAGTATAGAAACTTGGATATTATTTTATATAGTCTCAATACCTGTAACTTTCTGTGTTTATTTGATATAATTGATCCAGAAAAGTAAATTAGTCTTCCTTTTGCCATAAAGAAGGATACTTACAACAAAATATGAAATATCTAAAAACATGTAGCTATTGCAGTATTAATTGATCTTGTCTACTCTGGAATGTGGATGCTATGAAAGTTTAATTTTCTTTGTTAGTAAACATACCAGATTTGATATTTGGCAAACAAAGAAATGTAACTTACCATTAAGAGGACCTTACCTTTACAAGACTCAAATACTCAACTATTCCAGAACGCACTGCAGAAGATAATTTTCTAACTGATTCATCACAGACCCAACAATGAACACCTCTCCTTCCAGAATATACCCAGAGACGATGCTTAAATCCAAAGTCCTCTGAGGAGAGAAGTAATAATAGGTTTTAAAATAAATCTACAAATTCTTAGTTCTTGCTTAGTTCCTTAGTTTCTTTTTTTTTTTTTTTGATTCAGGTTCAATTTATTTTGGCAAAGTAATTTTGTAAATGCTATTGCATTCTTCCATCAGAATATTTTTATTATTTATTTATTTATTGTGATTTGGGTGAAGATTTACAGAGCAAATTCACTTTCCATACAGCAGTTCTAGTTCCTTAGTTTCACTTTTTACCTTTTCAACGTAATGTTGAAATATCCTTTAACCACATTAAATTATTGTAGTTTCCTGTGCTCCTCACACATTTGTCTTCCTATATTTGCCCATTCTGGTATCTCTGCCTATAATTTCGTCATGCCTTAGTACCACTTTCCTTGACCAGTTGCCATTTATCCTTAAAGACTCAGCTTATGGATATTAAAAGAGCTCATATATTTAAAGTGGTTAGAATAGTTCCTGGTAGATAGTGAGCTCCATATGTGAGTTCATGATCATCATCATTATCACAATCACCTCTTCAGGGAAGCCTTTTCTGATCTCATCTCTTCCCATTCCTTGTGTATTCCTACTGCTCTATAGCCCCACAGCATCCTATGTATGTTAATTAACACAATTGCAATTTTTAATTTTTTTAAATCTGTCATCTTATAGACTGTGTGACTTCCCTCATCTAGAATTTGTTGTTGTTGTATGCCGTCGAGTCAGACTCGACTCATAGCGACCCCTCCTTGGGTTTCCAAGGCAGTATCACTATGGAAGTAGATTGCCCCATCTTCCTTCTGAGGAGTGGCTGGTGGGTTTGAACTGCCAGCCTTCTGGTTAGCAGTCAAGTGCCTTAGGCACTATGCTACCAGAGCTCCCTCATCTAGAATGGTACTTAGCAATATTGACTACGTAGCTCAATAAATGATTGAATTAGAACACACTGGTTTGTTCAACAGCTTTTCTTTGATTTCCCCATCATATGTTTCAAGGAAACATATTAGAAATTTATAAGAATAGATTATAAACAAGTATAGAGGAAAACAAAGACTAGTATTCTAGGGAAAACAGATTCTTGCCCCTGACCCCAATCAGGTATTGGTGATACTTGCCCTTCAGTGCTCTGTCAATGATGCGTATGGCCATTGTCATGAGGGTCCAACACTTAGAACATATGTCTGCAGAACTGGAGCAGAGTTATTATTACTCACTGGCAGTGATACCACCCATCCCAACAGCAAATACACAGTGCTTACCTACAACATCTCCTCACATCATCGTAATCAGTCATGTCAATGTCAAATACCAGCTCTTTTTCCTGAGCTTGGAAAGCTCCCAGCTTCACTGTATTGTGTTGACTGGGCTACAGATACAAAATATTTATCAGTTTCTATAAGAGATGCCATACTGCTAAATGTTTTTAGTTTCTACTCACACAGAAATTGTGGGCAAAGAGAAGCAAAGAAATCACATGCTGAGTCTATGTCAATTGCAGTTCATATACTAAGAACTGATGACAGTTTAACTTTTATCTACTTAAAATGGGGTTTGATAAATATATATCCACCATAAGTATTTGGTGATTGATAGAACTCATAATAGAAATGATTTTACATCTCTGATAAGGAAAAGCACATACAAATAACTAATGGCCTACTGCACAGCATTTTAAAAACCTTCACTCATTACTCTATCTTTAAGTAATAAAAATGTATTTATTTAAAAATGTTCAGTAATTAAAAAGGATCTCCCCAGTTAATTTGAGCTAAGCCTTTATTATAAAGAGGTTATGGTCAAACAGGTGAAGTAGGTAAACTGAATACAGAGGCTTATTTTTGCTCTCTCCAAAGCCCCACAAAAATGATAGTAAGAGGTTTAAAAAAAGCATAAAAAATAACCAGAGGGGAGACAGCACCATGACAGTTTTACTGGAAATCAGCAGGAAATGGTAGTTAAGTGAGTCTCATAAAAGCTGAATCTTAAGGTGTCAGTAAGAAAAACTAAGAAACAACTCCATTTATATCTCAGAACTCCTCAAAGGCTCAGAAATAGGTGACACTGGGAATCTCTGGAGTATATGTGTATGTGTGTGTGGTGTGGTGGTGGTGGTGAGGGTGAAATTCAAAACAGGAGGTTTTGTTAAAAGTATCTCTTTCTAAGAAGCAGTTAGCTCCCTAGATTCCTATGATTACTCTGCAGAGCTAGGTAATTGCTTTTCTTCTTCCCTGGCAGAAGACACCTAAATTATTATCTGGACAGAGTAAAAGAGTCTCTGGGTAACAGTTGAAGAAGAGGGTATTTTACTGGTACTGGAGGTAGAAACCTAAGGCATTTGACTGCTAACCAGGAGGTTGGTCATTCAAACCCACCAGCCACTCTGTGGAAGAAAGATGGGGCAATCTACTTCTGTAAAGATTTATTGCCTTGGAAACCCAATGGGGGGCTTGCTATGAGTTGGACTTGACTCGATGGCAGTGAGTTTGGGTTTTTTTGGGGGTAGGGGAGGGGTAGTAACTGGGCATTTACAAGTGGGATGTTGAGATCCAGCCATTCTCCTCCCCACCCCTTCTATACCCATCCAATGCCAAGAAGCTGGAAGACTCCTCTGTGACATATCTGACCAGGTATTCTAGGCTATAGGAACAGATCAGTGACTAAAACAAAGATCTCTATGCTAGTGGCCTTTTTATTCTAGCAATGATCTAGATAAACTGTCATCAGAGATTGCCCAATAAAATGATCCAGTCAGATCACCCTTCAGTAAAGAAATATCAGCTATGTGTACAAAGCGTCCAAAAAGCTATTTAGTACTCTTATTCTTAAATATAAGTAACAAACAAGAAATTAGCAAACATATGAGGAAAGCCTTTAATGTGAAAGAAGAAAAACTTTCCAGAAAAAAAAAAGCAACTTACAGAGAGAAAACAGCTGTGCATTAGAAGAAAACTTAAGAACTACATCAATATCCTCATCGATTATTGAAGATATTGTCAGTAAAAAGAAAAGAGCTCCTGAAAATTAAAGAAAAGGAAAACTGGAAGAAAAGAAAGTAGATACGGAAGACTAGTCCATGAGGTCCAACATGACTTTAAGATTTCTAGAGAGAACGGAGAAAACAGGAAAAATTATATAAAGATAAAAAAGGAAAATTTCCCAGAATTAAAGGACATGACTTCATGATTGAAAGGGCTCACCAAGTATCTAGCACAATAAACAACAAAAGGTGCACATTAAGACATGTCATTGTGCCTTCTAAAAATTAAATTTTTATGTACTTCTAAAAACTTCTCCAAAAGTAAAAAAAGAACCTACAGATTGGGAAAAAGTATTCGGCAATGACATCTCTGACAAGGGACTTATCTCTAGAATTTATAGAAAACTCTAACACCTCAACAACAAAGGGACAAATAATCCAATTAAAAGATGGGCAGAAGACATGAATAGACACCTCACCAAAGAGGATATTCAGGCAGCCAACAAACATGAAGAAATGCTCACGATCATTGTAATTAGAGAGATGAAAATCAAAACAACGAGATACTATCTTGCCTCAGCACAAGCAGCAAAGTTCCACAATACAGAAAATAACAAATACTGGTGAGGATGCAGAGAGATTGGGACTCTCGTAAACTGCTGGTGGAACTGTCACATAATACAACCACTGTGGAAAGCAGTACGGTGCTTCCTTACAAAGTTGGAATTAGAAATACCATTTGACCCAGCCATTCCATTACTAGGTATATATCCTAAAGAAGTGAGAGCCAGGACAAGAACAGATATATGCACACCCATGTTCATCGCAGCACTATTTACAATAGCCAAAAGATGGAAACAACCTAGGTGCCCATCAACAGGAGAATGGAAAACTAAACTATGGTACATACACACAACAAAATACTATGCAACCCTAAAGAATAACATAGTATCTGCAAAACACTGCATAAGGTGGATGAACTTGGAGGAGATTATGCTTAGTGAAATAAATCAATCACAGAAGGACTAATATTGTATTAGTCTCTTATTGTAAAAAGTCAAGGAAAGGTTTCTATATGGAAAGAAATTTTCTTTGTTGGTTACCAGGTGTGGGAGGGGAGGGGAGGGAATGCTGTTAGATAGGTAGAGACAGGTGTTGATTGGGGTGAAGAGAAGGGCAATGTACCAAATGTGAATGATCAATACAGTGGCACTGAGAAAGAGGAAGACAGAGCTGCATGGGAGGTACAGACAACAAAGATGAACCCTTTTGCACATACAGTACTGTATTGTCAGCGAAGGCAAACGTTGATATATGGGTGGATAGATGGGTGGTCAGGCTGAACTATTAGGTATGTCTATGCAGGGGGTAGTATGCCCAAGACCATGTATAGGGTTGGCAGACGATGATTCTACAAGTGTATTGGTATGTTCTGTAAGAATCCCCAGGTGTATAGTAGAGCTGACAAGGGATAAGGTTGTGTCACTTCTTGGCCACAGCCAGCTACCCAGGGGCAGCGAATAGTTGGACCTGTGGGCTTGGGAACATAGTCGCAGGGGACATCAAGCTCAATTGGCATAACATGCTACACAAAAACATTGTTCCACTTCCTACTTTGGTGAGTAGCGACTGGGATCTTAAAAGCTTGTAAGCAGGCATCTAGATGTAATGATGGGTCTCTCTTCATCCAGAGCAAAGAAGAATGAAGAAAACCAAAGATGTGTGGAAACAATTAGTCCAAGCAACTGGTACACCATGCGATCCTCAGCCTATTTGACTATGAGACCAGAACTAGATGGTGCCTGGCTACCATTGTCAACCACTCAGAGGGGGATCTATGTGGGAGATCCTGGATAGAGTGGGGGAACAATGTGGAACAAAACTCACAATCATTAAGGAAAAAAAGGGACCAAGTTTGGTGGTCTGGTAGAGCCTGATGGAACCCCTGAGACTATGGGCCCTAGCTGCCCTTCAGGTCTGTAAGCGAACCCATACCTGTGGCTTCCAGCCAAACAAAAGACAGGCATATGAGCTGAACATTTATATTAGGTAGATACACTCCTTGGAGAGAACAATCATGGGAGAATAGAAGGGGTGCTTATGCACAGGGAGACAGCTCAGGGGGCAGGAGTGCATGGGAGGGAAGGACACAGGGAAGAGGTAACTACGGGGAGGAAGTGGGAGGGGAGCTGTTGCATTATGAGAAATTGTCATGAGATGAAGCGTGTATGAGCTGCTGCAGTATGGAAGATGAATTTGCTCTGTAAACTTTCACCCAAATCACAATTAAAAAAAAAAAAAAAAAAAGACATGTCATTGTGAGATTTTAAAACATTGGGAATAAAGAGAAAATCCTAAGTTTCTAGATTCAACACAGGAACAATAATTAGATTGGTATCACTTTTCTTAAGAATAATATTGGAAGTAGAAGACAATAGAGTAATATCTTCAAAGTTCTGAAGGAAAATGATTTCCAAACTCAACAAGTATAAAGACATTTTCCAGATACATAAGGTGTCAAATGCTTTGTATTCCATGCACCTTTTATTAGGAAGCTCATGGAAGATGTGCTCCATCAAAACAAGGGAGTCAAGAAGAGGACACCGAATCTGGGCAACAGGGGATCTAATACAGGAGAGAGATGAAAGGAATCCAGAGTGGTATGAAAGGAGTACAAGATCATATTTATTCATCAAACTTAAAGAGTAACCAGTCTACTTGGAGAGGTCAGCAATTTCTTTGAGATGAAACTGACAGACAACCTGATGGGTCTGAATACACTGGGAGATTAATTAAGACAATTGGCAAAGAGTTTGCAGTTGAATTAGTAATCTAAACAGAATTCTTAATCTAATAATTATATTAGGAGCATGGTAAATTAGGAAAGGAAAGGAAAGGAAAGGTTTTTTGTGTGGTAAGGGTAGGCGTTGAGGTCAAAGAAAGGTAAATCATCTGCTGGGGTGGAAAGTCAATAGATAATGCTTAAATTGGAAAAATGAAAGAAAGTAAAGCATGTATTTAGAGACAATGAGGCAAATAACTTAAATCAGTTAAAAGAAAGTGGTTGCCTCTGGAAAGCAGAAAATGATGGGAGGGGGAAGACTTTAAAAAACAAAACAAAAGGAAACTACCCGATTCTGTAAACTATTGGCATAAATAACTGGTAAAAATCACAAATCAAAATATATACCAAAAATCAAACCAAATCCATTGCCATCAAGTGGATTCCGACTCATGGTGATCCTGTAGGACCGAGTATAACTGCCCCATAGGGTTTCCAAAGATGTAAATCTTCATGGATGCAGACTGCCACATCTTTCTTCTGCAGAGCAGCAGGTGGGTTTGAACCTGACCTTGTGGTTAGCAGCCAAGCGCATAACACAGTGCCACCAGGTCTCCTTTACACACACACACACACACACACATCTACAGATGCCTCTGTCTTGGCACAATATAAAAATGAGACCTTTTTTACCCCCCTTCAGTATTAGGGAGAAGAAAGCCAAAGGGCCCTTCTTTTGAGATTTCAACTTTATTCCCCAATAAACTGTTCTGAAGCATTTTTTGCTGCTTGCCTTTTCTTCCTTATCTGTTCTTCTCCCCTTACCCTTTAGGTAGGAGACAAACCTAGAATTTAGAGTCAGAATATTTGGCTTCTATCTTACAGAAATTGTGTGACTTTTGGGAAACTAAGTTCTCTGGGCCTATTTCTCCACCGTAAAAAGAGTAAGTTTGATACAAAGAACAAGTTACATAGGATATGAAAAGCTCCATATAAAAGCTATCATCCCATGTGTGTTTTTCCCCGCATGTGTATTTTTAAGGAGAAAAAGAACAATTCAGTTTATTCAACAAATATTTATCGGCTACTTGCTATTTGAGGTGCATCTAGTCTAGGAAACATCAGTGGCAGGGAGTGGGAGGAGTGGCAGGTCGCAGATCTCATTGAGAAAGTGCTATTTGAGCAAAGACTTGAAGAAGGTGAAGTATGAGTGAAGCAGATATCTGGGGAAATGGATTCTAGGCAGTGGAAACATCTTGAGCAATGGCTGGTGTTGCTGCAGTGGAGTATATAAGAAGGACAGAATGGCATCTACTCTGAGTGAAATAGGAAGCCACTGGAGAATGCTTTGAGCAGAGGAATTACAGAATCTGACTTGTTTTAAGAGGAATCACTTTGGCTGTTGTGTTGAGAATAGATTTTAAGAGTCTAGAGAGGCAAACTGTTAGGTCTTATAGTAATACAGGGGACAGATGATGATAATAGCAGTGCTTGGATTTTCGATATGTGGGAGTGTGAGAGAAATAGAAGAGTGAAGAATAATCCCAATGCTGGAAGAGAATATAGGTTTTTTTTTTATTTTCTCCCTTACACCATGTTGACTTTCTCATTTAGTCTTTTAGCCAGCTACTCAACTTTTTGTTCTCCTGAGAATGTAACTAAATCACTCCCAAATGACCTCCGGTCAGCAGAATTTCAAAGAATAAGAAAGATTATACTGTATTTGCAAAAACAGCTAAGTCAACATTGGGGGTCCTCAGTGTGAATAAACTAAAAAATTTATAGCAAATTCTGGGGGGCACCAACCCCTTCTTGGTTCAAAAACAAAACAATGAAAAATTAAAAAACAATTACATACTCTGTGGGAATATACTGCACCTATATCAATCTTGTATGGATTCATTTTCTGTATCTCCTTTTCCAGTTCACTCTGGTTGTTGAAGGATTGGTAGCGAATGTAAATATCATCTTTCAATGTGAATGAAAATTCACGGTTTTGAAAGTAATTCTTTGTAACTGCAAAAGAAATTTACATTTTAAAGTTAATCTGATACTTTATTCATCTCAGGGCATTATGACATTTGAGAAATTAAGGTATTTAGTGAGGTCCCAACGCCCAACACTGTGCTACATGTAAAAAAAAAAAGGACAAAACTTAGTCCGTCACTTGAAGGGAGCTCTGCTGGTGTAGTGCCTAAGGCATTTGACTGCTAACCAGAAGGGTGGCGGTTCAAACCCACCAGCCTACATTCTCTCGCATGTTGTGGAAAAAAATAATGAAATATCTTTAAAAAACTAACGCCACCTCACTCTCCCTGGTGGGCATTAATAAATGAAATCAGCTGCAAAGAGGATATACCTTTCCTCCTCCCAGAGACCACTCATCTGTCCATGATACAGAACCCGACTCTGTAGCGTCCTGCTACAAGTACAGCTCAGTAAATCACCTTGCTTAGGCACCGCGTTGGGAGCGCTGGTAGCGTAGTGCCTAAGGCACTTGATGCTAACCAGAAGGCTGGCGGTTCAAACCCACTAGCCACTACAGGGAAGAAAGATGGGGCAATCCACTTCTGTAATGATACTGCCTTGGAAACCCAAGGAGGGGTTGCTATGAGTCCGGTTGACTCGAGGGCACATAACAACAACAGGCACCGCGTCAGATAAACGGGACACCTAATGTGAGCCTAGGAGCTCTGGTAGCATAGTGCGTAAGGCACTTGACTGCCAACCAGAAGGCTGGCGATTCAAACCCACCAGCCACTCCTTGGAAGGAAGGTTGGGCAATCTACTTCCCTGGCGATACCAACTTGGAAACCCAAGGAGGGGTCGCTATGAGTCGGATTCTACTCGAGGGCACATAACACCACCAACAATGTGAGCCTGACCCTCGTAAGGAGAGGAGCAGAGGCTGTATGTTTTACCGTCTAACCGTTGTTGTTGTTGTTGTTGTTGTTGTTATGTGCCGTCGAGTCGGCCCCGACTCATAGCGACCCCTCCTTGGGTTTCCGAGGCAGTATCACTACGGAAGTAGGATTGCCCAACCTTCTGTCCGTAGGCTGGCCATTATAGCCTCTCGACCCGCTTTCACCTCAGAGACAGTGGGAAGGGCTTGAGATACTGCATGAAGACTCCCAGCACGATGCCTGACTCACAGGAGGTCCTTCATAAATGTCATTTCATTATAAAAGTTCCATTCCAGAACCTTCTAACGTCCCCTCCCGACCCACTACCCATCCCGCTCCCCGCCTCATCACCTCCGCCATAGTTGAGCCAGCGATAGTATTGTGCGTAGGGAAAGAGCCTTCGGTAATAAAGCTTAAGCAGCTCAGGCAGATCCGCAGAGTCAAAAGTCTCCATGAAGCATGGAATTCGACTTGGACAGGAGTACCCCAAGATTTGGCGGGAACTGAACAACGGGCACCTCCGTCACTGCTCAGGCACACTTGGCCGGCTGTCTTCCGGGGCTGCCGGGATTTGTAGTTCCCGCTTCGGGGTTGGTTCCGCCGGCAGTCTTCCTGCAGCTGGGCAGACCCTACGGTCCCGGTTCACGTGGGCGGGGACTATCTCACCCGTTCCCGCGACAACATCTTCGGAGGTAAGACCTTTCGTATATCGATTTAAGTTATTAATGATGTAATAAAGATATAGGAGCTCTGGTAGCATGGTGCCTAAGGCACTTGACTGGTAACCAGAAGGCTGGCGGTTCAAACCCACTAGCCACTCCTTGAAAGGAAGGTTGGGCAATCTACTTCCGTAGTGATACTGCCTCGGAAACCCAAGGAGGGGTCGCTATGAGTCAGTCCGACGCCACAGCACATAACAATAAAGATACTGCCTTCTAACTTTATAAATGTTTTAGAAATAACGTATTTAAACAATGTTAGCTGGTATGTTTAAAAGAGCTTTTGGAAATTAGTTCTTTTAATACTTTAACAGAATTACTAATTCCAGCAGAACACCAAGGAATATAAATTGGAGGAATTTTTAGAGTTTTGGAGAGCTTTACGGTTATGAAAACAGTCCGTTTGCTACTTATACGACAGTTACATCAATTAGCACTACTGAAGCACTACTGAATAAAAAATGATACATTGCACTTGTGGATTGGGGTGGACATCTTGATAATCTCATGAGCATCGTGTTACTTGAAAACCATCATCATCTTTATGAGCTTTATTATGTTCACAATAATAGTAGGAAAGTCAGGAGAGAATAGAGCCTCTAGTAAAACTATCAATTTATTTGCCTGATTTTGGAAATGATCTTCGTTCCCCAGCTCCTGTGGTCAGATGACATTTATTTTAATATTGCTAGAAATCTGGGTTTCTGCACAATCTTTTTTTTTTTTTTTTTTTACTTTTCTTGTGGTGAAACCATACACAAGACATTTGCCAACATAACAACTTCCCCATTTACAGCTCAGGGACATTGATGACATTTTTCAGGTTGTGCCACCATTATTGCTATCCTTTTCTAAAATATTCCACCACTATTAGCATAAGCTCAATGCTCCACAAACAAAAGCTTCTACTTTTCCTCTCCTTTCTTTTCCTCCTCACCACTAATAATGTATTGTTTTTGGTAGCTATTGTAAATGATACTGATTTCCTTATTTCCTTTTCAGCAATCTCTTTGCTGGTGTAGAGGAGTCCAACTGAGTTTTGTATGTTGATCTTGTATCCTGCCACTATGCTAAATTTCTCAATTAGTTCCAGTAATTTTTTTTGTTGAGTCTCTTGGGTTTTCCATGTATAAACCAAAAACCATACTCACTGCTGGAGAGTCGGATCCAACTCATAGTGACCCCCCTCCTTGGGTTTCCAAGGTGGTATCGCTACAGAAGTGGATTGCCCAGTCTTCCTTCTGAGGAGTGGCTGATGAGTTTGAACTGCCCACCCGCCTTCTGGTTAGCAGTCAAATGCCTTAAACAATATGCCACCAGATACATAGATATTTTCAAGTCTGCTAATAAGTGTGTTCATTATTTCCCAGTTAAAGATTTATATGCAATAGACAATGCTTAAAAGATTTATTAAAAAGAATTTATTTGATATGATCAAGGTTTTATCTGTTTAGCTAAAGTTCAGTAGCTTAAGAATTTAGGAGCTTTAATGATAAAAAGCATATAAAACACCAAATTGTGTCTTGCTGTTAAAGTAACAAATTTTTCTTTGATTACTTGTTGGGAGATTTCATTCTTAGTGTAATTTGCTTTAACAGTAAGGGTAGATTCCTGAGTCAGACCAAGATGCCTGGTTTTGAAAAACAGTAAAGTACCGTTTTAAGAATTTATTCCTTATAAGATCCGGTGTGGAAGGTGGTAATATTATCCCCATTTTACAGATGAAAAAGACACAGAAAACTCAGTTGTCAAAGGTCATAACTGGGAAGGAAGCCAGACAGCCTGGCTCCTGAGTCTGTGTGTTTAACCCCTAAGCTACATGCTGTGTCTCTACTAGGCGTTGTTGTGAAAGTGAAAGTAAAGAGTGCCTGGCATAGTCTGTGACCCAGAGCCACTCAATGTGTGGAATTATTATTCCCTAATAATGTCCCAGCATAACCTGTTGCCACCTACAGCATAGAGTAGAACTGTCACATAGAGTTTCCAAAGCTGCAGTCTTTATAAAAGCAGACTGCCACATTTTCATGGAACATCTGGTGGGTTTGAATTGCAGAACTTTTAGTTATCAGAATGCTTCAGCACTGTACCACCGGGGCTCCCTGTGTTCTAACATAGAGGCTTTTAACCCAGATGCCACACGGAGGCAGTATTGGCATTCAGTTTCTTTCCTCTAA